ATGGATTGCATTCTATCTTGCAAGCCCTCAATGTCCCACAAGGGTTTAATTTGTGATAAACAACAGTCAAAATGTGTTCATATTTTTTTGTGAAGAAATGCCAAAATCTGCCAGCAACTTATTTTGCATAACTAATGCTATGGAGCTGGAAGGCAGGGGTCAGCTCCCTGGAGGCAGCTGCAGAGGGTGATGGAACCTAGCTGTGGGTTCGAACCTGCAGGGAAATGAGCTGCAGTGACAGCAGGCTCCCTGTCTCTACGAGCTTTCTTGCCGTGAAAAGGAAAACTGATAAAAAGCACCCACTTGCACCAAGTGGGATAGTCTCAACTGAACCTGTGAGAAGCCTCATTTCAAGAGACTGTTTAGAAAGAGACAGGTTTTGCAACTTTCTAAGTGACCACAACCTGCTGAAATGAGGAAAGACATTCAGCAGATTAACACTGAAATGCAAAGACAACATTCAGAAGGAGTTTTCTTAAACAGAACCAACAGACGTTCAGCAGGCTTTTCTTGTTGCTTTGTTCCTTCAAGAGAGTTTTTTGTTTCTTTTCCTTTTGCAATGTCTACTCGACTCTGCCTGTGTTCTCAGTGACTACATCAGGGGCATCTGGATTTCAGAGGTTTTATTCCAGACCATCAAGGCCTGTATGTCAACCACTGATTGAAGAATGCTTCAAAGTTGTCCACGGAAACCACTCTGAGTCTCAGGACACACTCTGGGCTGTGATGTGACAGCGTGTGATCTGGAATCTTCAGGAACGTTCTCCTCAGTGCATGGCATGTCTTCCTCTCATTCTCACTGTGTCCTTTTCTTTCTGGATGCAGAGTCCCATGGTCCCTGCTGTACGGTGAGAGTGAGGGGACCAGCAGCTTCTGAGCAGCGAGGACAGTGCAGGAGCGCTGACAGCCGGGAGTCCCCAGTGGGCAGCCCTGGGCAGGTCTGTTGGGACCTCCAGGGGCTTGCTGCTTCCACCTCTCTGGGGCGGCTGACCCTCTTTGCAGCCTTCACCCCTGGGGTCCCAGAGTCGTCTCCTGCCTGGCTCTTTTTCTATGGGGCCTCTGTTGCCTGAGAGTGTCCTAGGGACCAACCCTGCCAACTGCTAGAGCCTGTCCTCTGCTCAAACAGTCAGAATGGGGACACCAAAGTCCTAGCTGGCTGCGCAGGTGGCTGACCAGACACCCCTCTACTTCTTACACTCAGGCTCAAAAGACAGGACCTCACAGTCACATTAACAAGACCCTGAGTTTACTTCAACATGTGGGATTCCACAGGGAATGGTATGATACACCTGGGATCATAGAGATGTGCCCTACACTTCCATGGCAATGATTACTACTGACCCACCACCAGGAGACTCGCCCACAGGCTGCATCAAGTCCTGCCGGCTCCACCTGAAGCACCGTGGAAGGGGATGCTGCTCTGGGACTTCCAGATAAAGATACACACATGAGGTCATCAGGACCAGAGCCTAAGCTGCTCTCAGTCGGGGGGCAGGCAGGACAAAACCCAAGGCCAGGTTCCGGGGGAGAGGGGGCACTGTGAGCAGCAGGGGTGGAGGGCCTCGGGGCTGGGCCCTGTGAGGAGGATGCCCCCAACCCCAACAGGGGCCTTTGGTAGCTGGCTGCTGCCCTCCTAATGGAGACTGAGCACAGCCCCAAGGGGGCCGACAGTGCAGCTCAGGGCAGGGTGGGGGCAGGCTGTGGGTCTTTGATAGGGGTGGGTGGAATTCCTGCAGCCAATTCCCTATGGGGCAGCCTCTCTCAAGGGTCAGAGGTGAGGGGTTTTAGTCTCTGGAAGAGGAACCACACTCGGAGTGGTCTGTATCTGTGTGTTGTCCTGACTTGAGGATTAACCCCCAGGTGCCCGTGTCCCTTCAAAACAAATGGTAGTTGACAAAAATGCTTCTGCTCAAAATTCACTGGCCCTGGGTCATCATATGACCCTTCCTAAGTGAAGAGGCCTGGCAGGGTCGTGTCCCCATGTGTGCAGGGAGAGAGGAAGACAAGAGGTGTCTGGACTCCTGACATCTCTCCAATTCCACACTGCCTAGCAGATGCTCCACAAAGAGCAGCAGTTAAAAATCTCCTTTGTTTTGGGGAGGAGAGTCTGAGCAGGTCATATGGGTCTTGACATTCTCCACCTTTCCCAAGCGTCCACTGACTATGTGGCCGCTGCCATATATGTGACCAGAATCACATCTCCTGTTCCCGTTGTTCTCTGGCACTCAGCATGGAAAGCTGCCCCTTCAGCCTCCTGCACCCATACACACCCCTACTGCAGTGACCTCACCACCTCCTTAGGCCCGGAAGTCGCTCCTACCTTTTAATGCCAGGCACAGCCTTAACTTGTGTCTCTGCTACCTCCATACTTCTGAACCTGCCTGAACCCAGGAATGCTGGCGGATGTTGCATCTTTACTGGCTACTACTTATTTCTTGTGTTATTCGCATCTCAGACTCTGTCCTTCTCTCCTCTGGAGATTGTTTTCTTTTTAAGACACCTCAGAGAATTGGCAGCTCAATAGGAAACAAAATAGAAAACCACTCAAAATTGCTGTTCTGTGTGTTTTCCCCCCGGGGGATATATTATTCAATTTGGGTGTTTGTGAGGGTTTGGGGGTGGGGAGCAGTGTCTTTCCCAGCTGGGCAGAGCTCACTCCAAGATCCCAGGATTCTGGTCACAGAGCAGGTCCTTTCCACTTTTGCAGCTTCTCTTCAACTCATTTCATCCAAATGAAATCTAGACCATGCTCACAAGTGAAAATAATAAAGACTATATGACCAAATAAACTGTCATTTCAATGTACTTGGAAATCAGCTTCCCAGGGCAGAGAGGAGGGATAGCACAGGGAATACTGGGCCATATATAAAAGAGCAGGATTCATATTTCTCTAAGATTCCTAGTAGATGGTAGGTAGAAAACACCTATTTCATCCCTGTGGTCAACAGTTATGCAACAAGAGCCAGGACCCCTTCCTGCCTGCCCCAGAAAGAGAACTCCCTGGGGTTTATCCAAGAAGCAAAAGGACACCTCACAGCAATGATCCATTTCAGAGATTCTCCTCACACCCAAGATAAACCTCATGTGACTGTGGCTTCTAGATCATCACTCTAAGTGTGGGGATGTCCTGCTTCTCCTAGTGTCCCCACTGCTAACACAGCCTTTCATGGAGCAGAGGCTCCATAAAGGTCTTTGGGATAAATGAGCTAGTGAGCAGGAGGCTCAGATTGTCTGATACTTTCTTTAATAACCCAGTAAAATTCAATAAACAGAGATAATTTAGTTACTGCAAATGACAGACAAGAACTGAAGCATGAATTCACTATGATTACTTTTATTATATAATTCTTCTCCATTCAATATTATTTCTAAATAAGTTCGCATTTTCAAAACAATTCTAATTCCTATTCCATTGCATCCTGTTCAGGACCGCAAAACACAATGGAAGTGTTCCCAATCACTTTTAAAAAACAGCAAAACTCTTGCTCGTGAACTGGGTAACCATAAACACACTGGGATTAACATCATTCACAAAGCTAAGACACTGAAGTGTATTTACCTTTCTATAAAATTAAATTTTGAAATTTTTTTAAAGAAAACAGAGATGAATCTCCATGTCATTGTAGAGAACAGGAACCCCAAACCGCTACACACTTGTTCCCTAAACTGGCCAGGCCCTCATTTCTGAGAAGCTGAGTGATACCTCTTCAGTCACAGAGGGAAGGATCAGACTGGCTGCTGCTCTGGCTCAGGTTGCCAAGTCCTCCTTCCTTGCAGCCTCTGCAGAAGGGAGTGGGAAGGCCCTCAAAGCCCTTTGGTTGACCCTGAGCAGAAACGCCATGACTTGCCACTTGCTGGTCTCTGCATAGGCCCAGGGACCCCACAGGAACTCATAGTGGGCAGGGTGGCTGTCAGGCACCTGCTGGTACTCCAGGTACCCCTCTTGCACCCACACATGGGTCAGCAGCTCCCTGGGCTCCCCAAAGACACAGTGCTCACTCCCAACACATAGCCCTAACCTGCTGAATGCTCCCCAGAATGCTTCCTCAGGGGCCCAGTCTCCATTCTGCATATTCAAGCTGAGGACCAGCACCAGGAGGCCGGCTTTGGGCAGCCCCTATCCACCGCTCAGCATCGTATCACAGCTGAGGCCCAGGGTGGAGACCATGAAGTAGATGTACTCACTGGCGTCTACCTCCTTCACCTCCATGCCAAAGACCAGCTGCAGGCACTCTGAGACTTGGCTGAAGACCACTGGGTAGTGCTCCTGGTTATCCCTGATGACTTTCTTCAGCATTTCTGCCTGGGAGGTCAGCTTCTTGGCTCAATACTTGAGGAGAAGGGACTTCATCAGGTTAGCAATCATCTCATTCAGAACTTCCTAGGCCAAGCTCCTCCCCAGGGGAGGAGGAGGATGCTGGGTGGTGGGAGGCCAAGTAAGATGGGGCCTACCCCTGCTCAGTCCCCAAGAGCTGCGCCTCCACCCAGTCCTGAGCCTCGCCTGGGTCCTGAAGGTCTTCCTCGGGCTTGCTCAGCTTACTCATCTTGACCACAAGCATGATTCCTGGGGTTGAACAAGACACGGAAGTGAGGCAGGGATACAGATGGGGACCACCGGTCTCAGGGTGAGAGGGGCTGTGAGCGGCCTTGGCTGAGAAATTCATGAGATACCCTCAAGGCGCCCCCTCCATTTCTCTCACAGGAGCTCCAGGAACCAGGAGGAGAAGGCAGAGGTCTGAGGCCCACATCCTAAGGTCAGAGAGCAGAGGAGGTCCAGGCAGTACCAGGAGTCAAGGTGAGGAGTGTGCCCTAAGTGTGCAGCAGGGTCTCCCCATCCCAGAACAGAGGGGACCCCACGAGGGCCTAATACCCCCACCTAGTCAGCCCCGGAAATCTCAGGCTGTGCTTACTGCACCCTGGGGAGCCACCTCACTTCTTCCTTCAGGTAGCCAGGGGTACTGACTGCCCTGGAGGCACACCCCTGTGAGGTCTGAGAGTACTCCTTAAAAGGAGACCTGTAAGTGGCCTGTGTCAGACCACCCAGGGTGCAGTTCTCAAGACCGTTCACAGCCCCTCTCTCCCTCAGCCAGGCCTGTGGTCCCCATCTGTTCCCCTGCCTTACTTCTGTCTGTGGTTTCATCCAAGGCATTGCACTCCTGGTCGAGATGAGTGAGCTGAGCAATCCCGAGGGAGACCTTCAGGACCCAGGCGAGGCCCAGGGCCCGGTAGAGGCACAGCTCTTGGGGGCTGAGGCAGGAGAGGCTTTATCCCCTCAGCCTTGTCCCCACAGTCTCCTGCTCCACCCTTGTGGAGGCCTTGCCCCAGGAAGCTCTTAATGCGATGGTGGCAGGAACATGATGAAGTTCCTGCTCCTCAAGTATCGAGCCAAGAAGCTGACCTCCCAGGCAAAAATGCTGAAGAAGGTCATCAGGGATAACCAGGAGCACTTCCCAGTTGTTTTCAGCCAAGCCTCAGAGTGCCTGCAGCTGGTCTTTGGCATGGAGGTGAAGGAGGTAGACCCCATGGAGCACATCTACATCATGGTCCCCACCCTGGGCCTCACCTGCAATGCAATGTAGAGAGGTGGGCAGGGCCTGCCCAAGGCTGGCTTCCTCATCTTGATCATGAGGAATGGAGACCGGGCCCCTGAGAAGGCAGTCTGGGGAGCACTCAGCAGGATAGGGCTGTGTTTTGGGAGTGAGCACTGTGTCTTTGGGGAGCCCAGGGAGCTGCTGACCCATGTGTGGGTGCAAGAGGGGTACCTGGAGTACCAGCAGGTGCCTGACAGCCACCCTGCCCACTATGAGTTCCTGTGGGGTCCCTGGGCTTATGTGGAGACCAGCAAGTGGCAAGTCATGGTGTTTCTGCTCAGGGTCAGACAAAGGGTTTTGAGGGCCTTCCCATAGTTGTCTGCAGAGGCTGCGAGGGAGGAGGACTCGGCAGCCTGAGTCAGAGCAGCAGCCAGTCTAATCCTTCCCTCTGTCATTAAAGAGGGAGTGGTCAGCCTTCTCAGAAATGAGAGCCCAGGCCAGTTGGGGAAACCGATGTGTAGCATCTTTGGGCTCCTGTTCTCTATGATGACATGGAGATTCATCTGTTTTCTTTAGAACATTTTAAAGCTTTCATTGTTCTCACAGAAGGCTAAATAAACTTCAGTGTCTTAGCTTTGTGAATGATGTTGATCACAGTGTGTTTGTACTTACCCAGTTCAAGAACAAGAGTTTTGTTGTTTTGTAAAAGAGATTGGAAACTCTTCCATTGTGTTTTGTGGTCCTGAACAGGATGCAATAGAATTGGAATTAGAACTGTTTTGGAAACGTGAGCTTACTTAGCAGTGATACTGATGGGGAAGAATTAGATGATAAAAGTGATCATAGTGAATTCATGCTTCTGTCCTTCTTGTGTGTCATTTTCAAAAACTAAATTGTCTGTTTATTTGGGTTGGCTTGGGTTTTTTTAAGGAAGTAGCAGATAATTAATTGAGCCCCCTGCTCACTGGCTCATGTATTCTGAAGACCTTTACAGAGCCTCTGCTTTGTGAAAGGCCATGTTTGCAGTGGGGACACTAGAGAAGCAGGACACCCCCATACCTAGAGCGATGGTCTAGGAGCCACAGTCACACGAGGAAGGTGGAAAGACGTCCCCTAGTCGCACTGAACAAGGCAACAAAGGGCAGGGCGATGGGGCTTCAGGAGGAGCACTGGAGTGTCAGTGGCTGAGCCAGGGCAGTTTGGGGCTTTGAGAAGCTGGATTCCTTCTCTGGGACGTGATTGTGATGAGGCTGGGTGGTGGCAGCCCTCAGACTTGCAGACAGTGTGTCTTTGGGGTGATGGGAAATTCTGAAATGGATCACTGCTGTGAGGTAGCCTTTTGCATTTTGGATAAAGCCCAGAGAGATCTCTTTCTGGGCAGGAAGGAAGGGGTCCTGGCTTTTGTCACATTGCTGTTGATCACAGGGGAGAAGGAGGTGTTTTCAAACCCCATATCTGCTAGAAATCCTGCAGAACTCCTTCGCACTCCCTTGAAGTGGTGCCCAAGAAATACACGAAAGTACCCTCTTTTTCCTGGTCCATGGGATGTGGAACCCAAGGTGTTAATTAGCTTTAAATTATCTTGATTGTAACTGGCCATCATAATCAAGGACTCAACCTTCTTTGGGGTTGCAATGAAGGAAAATAATGGTTTGGATGGAAGACTAGCTGAGGCAGAGGCAAAGAGTGGTTCTTGCTTCTATTTCCTAGAGCAGTTTGGATCCTGCTGGAACAGTCCTCCACACCCAAATTTAGCAGGTTCTCTTACTGGAAATGGGGCTTACCGGGTAGCTCAAATGATGAAGAATCTGCTTACATTGTGGGAGACCTGGGTTCGATTCCTGGATCAGGAACTGGGTTCGATTCCTGGGTCAGGAAGATCTCCTGGAGAAGGGCATGACAACCCACTCCAGTATTCTTGCCTGGAGAATTCCATGGACAGAGGAGATTGGCAGGCTATAGTCCATGGAGTTTCAAAGAGTCGGACACAACTGAGTAACAAACATTATGGTCTAAGTAGAAAAGTTTCTTAGTTTTATTTTTGAAACATCCTGTTTGGCTGATTAGCTATTCCACATCCTATTGAGGGTCATATTCTCTGACCTGCCTGGACCACAAAGCACACATCCCACAGTGGAGAGTGGAAGAGTGTCTGGGGGCAACAATGTGACAGATTCCTGCCCTGTCATCACAGTGCAAACAGCTGCCAGGCCCTGGCAGCCTCATCCCGTCCCTCAGGCGCACCCTGCAGCCCAACACGTGGGCTTCTCAAACTGACTGGCTTCACAGGAGAACTGAGGCCACGGGGTTTGGGATCTTCCCAGGCCCACGTGCTAGTGAGGGATGAGGTGGACTCAGAGCCCTGGTTTCAATTCCTCTGGAGCCCCCACCCTTCCCGCCCACCCTAGGCCACAGGCTGACCTTCCGACTTCTCACACCTTCCTCTTCTCAGTGCTACACAATGCCTCTGAGGTGACAAAAAGCAGGCCCGCGGAAGGAAGCGGATGAGGAGGATCAGAAGCACTGTGGGGCTGCTCTGGTGTTTGCTGAGAACTGACTCTGCCGGGGGCCGGCATCTCTGTCCATCCCAGCGCCTCCCGCATGAGGGCGGAGCCCTGTCCCTGCTGCTGCCATGGGGCGTCCTGCCCAACTGCACCTGTCAGGCTGACCAGCTCCTCACCGAGCAGGAGGGAGGGAGGGTCTGACCTTATGGCCATGATGCCCACTGGGATAAGGCCCCTACAGGATCGTCCTCTGATATGGGAGGGAAGGTAACATGACACCTGAAGCTCCAGGTCTCCCCAGCACCAGCGATGGAGGGGAGCAGCTGGAGGGCCTCTGTGCTGGGGACACCGGGGCAGGGACACCAAGCACAGCGGCAGAAGAGTGTGGCTGAGAAAGGCGGGCCTTGGAAGTCATGAGGGCTTGTGTGTGCACAACACGGGTGTCCTGAGCCAGAGCTGAAAAAACTCCTCAGTGCCATGCAAACCCACTGCCCGGGCCCATGTGGTGCCTGGAGAAGGGGGAACAGAAAAGGAAGCTCAATAAGGACCCAGTGATGAGGAGGGGCCCCGAGTAGGGTGGGGGTGGGGGCAGGAAAGGCCACCTAGTCAGGCTGCCACAGGCATCACAGTCTTTGGTCCCCTTCAGAGGAGCCACCAGGGGCCCCCACCAACAATCACAGCCTCCAGGTTCATGTCCCAGTCAGATTAACTGACCTGAAGGAATGCTTTGTCAACCTGTATAGGAGCACAAAGGCAAGGGAGCAAGCAGAGGTCAAGGCCCGTGAGCTCCATTCTAGCCGCCAGACCTCAGACTGAAAGGCCCCTGGACGAGCTTCTTCCACACCCTCTTAGCTCTCCCCTTTCAGACACTAGTCTGTGGCCCTCACACAGGGCAAAGACCCTGCTGAGTGGCAGAATTAGGGGGGCACTGTCCCTAGGTACACTGCTCTAGGGTCCTCACACACGGGCCCTTCCATGGTGCTGGTCTGTCCCCTACATGGTGATTTTGAAGAACAGTGGCCCACAAAGGTCAGAGAACATGCGTCTCCAAACTCACTGCCCTATTACCCATGTGTGGTGAAGACAGGTGACTTTCACTGGGGTTTCGTCCAGTCCCACACACAGACTCTCATCCATTTGCAAATACAGGCAGACAGGGACTTCCTTTGGTTACATCTAGCTCAACAATTTAGACATGTCCCTGGCAGTGTGTGTAAAGGAGGCCCCTTGAAAAGTGCCTAACCTGTGAGCAGACAAAATCGTTCTATGTACCTGCCATCTGGGTAAGGGAGATCAGGTCCACAGTGGTGGTGGGGACAGGGGCAGGGGCAAAGAAGATCAGAGCTGGCCTCACAGAAGACCAATGAAGTGCTTATTTTCAACAGAACAGGCTGTACCTTGAGCCCCCAATCAAGTACTTAAAAGGGCAGGTGCCCACAGAGACCCAAGTTGGATGTGGCAGGCCAGGAACAGGGGTAGCAGAAGCCCAACCAACCCATTGACAAAAGGAAACAGTAATTTTGAGGCAGCCTCCAGGGAGCCTGAATTTGAGGCTCTGGGCAGGGGATAAGAAAAGCACACACACACAGGTGTTCCCAAAGTGAGGACTCTAGGATCACGAGAGCAGTCTTTATGGAAAGAAATGGAAACTGAAGACAGCAGCCTGTGATCTGCAGTGAGATGGCATCTGGGGGTGGGCAGAGCTCGGGAGGCTGCAAGCTCAGCAGAGCACCTGGCTGGGCCCTCCTTCAGGGCATCCTGGAGAGTCTGTGTCTCAGGTGATTGGGGAACAGTCAAGTGGAACGTGAGGTCACTCCACTGTGCTTGAGTGCAGCCCTACTCTGGGGAGAGCTCGATCTGGGTGGCAGTGGTGGCAGGACAACAGGACTCTGACTTTGGGGCCATCTGAGTGGGACAGACCAACCGGCAGCACCAGCCAGAAGACAACAAAGCCAGAAGAGGGGCAAGGCCACGGCTGGTGGGGTGGGGAAGTGGGACCACCAACACAGGCTAGGCTAACCAGCCTGCTATGGATCCTGTTCTGGGAGGGACAGCTGCCAGGGGCCCATCTGACCCCTGGGATCTCTCTCGGTGGTGGCCAAGCC